GAAAATTAATTTGTCACAAGAAAGTTTCATATAAATTAACTAGGAATTAAATTAAAAATGTATCAAAAATTAAAATATCAAAAAAATAATAGAACCTTTCTAATATTCCATTGTATTTTTAGCATATATTAAAATATATTATTTAATATGTATTTCCTATCATTTTAAAATTGTTTGAAATTTTCAATATGCGATAGAATTGACAATGAGAATGAGAATTGCTATTTCGAATTTCAAATATGATTTGAGTATCTAAAAATAAATTAAAGATTTCAATAAATTTATTTCCATGTTTTCTCTTTTCCTTTCTTTTGCTGCACTTTATAATTTGCTAATGTATGTAATTTAAATAATTAAAAGATCATTGTTAATAGCTAAATTTTAATCATTTCTCAAACTCTATCCTTTGCTAATCGAAAAATTAAACAAAATTAAGTAAACAAAAAAAATTATACAAAAATATTATGTTATCACATCTTCAACTGATATAGTATGATGGGTTTTTAAAAATAATTGCAAATTAGTTATCAGTTAACCATACTGAAATTTGTAAACGCAAAATAAATTGTTAACAATTTTTTAATTTCATTATGATTTTTCATTATATCAAATCTTAGTTTTGATTTAAAATTTGTGATATTATATATATACTTATCAAAATTATCATCAGTAATGATCATTGCTATTCCTTCTTTTTTCTTTTTCTTTATTTTATTAATCATTAACTGCATACTGAATCATTAAAAGCTAATCAATTGAATGATATAATTACTTAAATAATACTTAAAATATTAATGGTATTATCAGATAATATTTTGTGTTACCAAATGAAATGAATAAATTATATATTTTTAATTTATTTTAAAACAAACAATTGAAATAAATAAGAAATATTGTATTATTTTTTATGAAATTATTCATAATTCTCCTTTTTTTTCTTTCATTTCTTTAATATTTTACTAATTTCAATTTCTTTTTCATTTTTTTCGTTGTTATTTTTATACAATTATTCATCTTAATTAATTATTTTATTCTCATATTATATTTACTTACCTTTACCTTTATGTGCTACAAATTTTGCTCATTTAACATTTATTGAAAAGTGTGTATTTATTTTAACGGATTGTGTTAATTATGATTAGATTGTTAAAATCAATAACATCTTTTACCCATTTGAATAACACTACCACAACTATCTGTCATTTCAGTTTAAAATTAAACTTCAAAATAATCTTTCATAATTATCACATATCTTAATTTCCTCAATAGATTACCATCTTCATCTTTCTTTCTTTTTTTTAAGAAAAATTCCTTAACAATTTTACATATTTTTTGATCCTTTAATAATTAATCATTTAATTTAGCTAATTTTATTATTGTAATCATAGATAGTTAATATTTATTTATTTTTTATAGTTATCATTTGTTTTAAGCATTTTATCACTATAATATTTTTTGATTTTTTAATAATTATCATGTTTTTTTTTTAATATTCTTTGATAATTGCCATATTTTTTAAATGATTTAAATAATTCTTCATTTATCATTATTATTAATAAAATAATGAAATAATTGAAACTCAATTTGAAATTTGTTTCTAACCTCCACTATGAAACTGCCAATTTTTTTTTAAGAGTTTAACGAAATTTAAATTTAAATTTGAGTTTCATATTTTAATACATGGAACTCTGAGAACAGCCATGTTGTTATCGATTTTTTCCTTCCTTTTTGCTCTTTGTCTTAATTTTTTTTTTGGGAGGGAGAAAGAAATTTTATGGAAGAAAAATAATCATTTTAAGATTTTTGAAATTGTTCTGAGATTCATCGCAATTTCATTTCATCAATGAAACAGTTCCGGAAACAACATCAAATATGTAACTTTCCGGAAACATAAACAGCCTGATATTAGATATAAATCTTCAAATATGCCATGAAACTCTAATTGATAGCATCAATTGAGTCTTTTTCATTTATGAAATCTTATTAGCATTACATTCTCTCTTTTATGTTCATCTTCACCGGTTTTTTAATCAATAAAATTTACCGATTTGCCATCAGAATCTCTCTTATCGATTTGCCATCAGAATCTCTCTTACCGATTTGCCATCAGAATCTCTCTTATCGATTTGCCATCAGAATCTCTCTTATCGATTTGCCATCAGAATCTCTCTTATCGATTTGCCATCAGAATCTCTCTTATCGATTTGCCATCAGAATCTCTCTTACCGATTTGCCATCAGAATCTCTCTTATCGATTTGCCATCAGAATCTCTCTTATCGATTTGCCATCAGAATCTCTCTTATCGATTTGCCATCAGAATCTCTCTTATCGATTTGCCATCAGAATCTCTCTTATCGATTTGCCATCAGAATCTCTCTTATCGATTTGCCATCAGAATCTCTCTTATCGATTTGCCATCAGAATCTCTCTTATCGATTTGCCATCAGAATCTCTCTTATCGATTTGCCATCAGAATCTCTCTTATCGATTTGCCATCAGAATCTCTCTTATCGATTTGCCATCAGAATCTCTCTTATCGATTTGCCATCAGAATCTCTCTTATCGATTTGCCATCAGAATATCTTTTCTATTTTTATTTTCGTTTATCCTTTCATTGTTTCAGTTCCTAAAAAATCACAAAGAAAAAATTTCCAGTGACAAAAAAAATTTTTCAAAATTTCACAATTCTTTTTTAAAAAATACATTTTTCGTTTTTCATTTCTTAATTTCATATTTACACCTACGCTTTCTTAATTTCATATTTACACCTACGCTTTCTTAATTTCATATTTACACCTACGCTTTCTTAATTTCATATTTACACCTACGCTTTCTTAATTTCATATTTACACCTACGCTTTCTTAATTTCATATTTACACCTACGCTTTCTTAATTTCATATTTACACCTACGCTTTCTTAATTTCATATTTACACCTACGCTTTCTTAATTTCATATTTACACCTACGCTTTCTTAATTTCATATTTACATTTACACTTTCACATAATAATGGCATATAAATGTGAAATTATCAATAATTACAGCAAATAAAAAATATTTTAACACTTTTCATTACAATCTTTTCAAACAAACAATTATAATTAAAAATATGTTTTTATTTAATGCAATGAAATAACACAAAAAGAGTGAAAGAGAAAGAGGAGGGAGAGAGAGAAGGCGAGAGAGAGAAAGAAAAGAGAGTGAAGGAGGAGACTACTTCTTTCTCTTCTTTTTTCCCTCCCTCTATCTGCTTCTCTCTCTCTCTCTCTCTCTCTTTCTCATTCCCTCAGTATTCTTCTTTCCTATATCAATTATTCCCTAATCTTTTTTTCAATTATTCAAACTTTTTTCTTTTTTTGTATTCTTAATTATTTTTTTTTCTCTCTCTCCTCTTATTGACTGCTTTGATATTTGTTTTCTTTTCAATTTTAAATTCTAATTAATATATTAGCTTTTATTCATTATTTATTTATAATTTATTGAATTATTTATGCAATCAAATTTATTTTAATGTTAAATATTTTGATGAAAAGCAATTCTTAGTTATTCATAATTATTACCCATAATAATGTTTATTGTTTATTGTTTTTTTTTTTTTTTGGTTTCTTATAAATTCAATTATTAATATTTATTATTTATGACATCAAAAATAGCTGATTCGATGAATGTTAGACTAAAAACTTATTGCAAAGTATTACTTACAAATAAGATCAATATATGTTATCAGAGTAAGTTATTACTTACAAATAAGATCAATATTTGTTATCAGAGTAAGTTATTACTTACAAATAAGATCAATATTTGTTATCAGAGTAAGTTATTACTTACAAATAAGATCAATATTTGTTATCAGAGTAAGTTACTACTTACAAATAAGATCAAAATTTGTTATCAGAGTATGTTATTACTTACAAATAAGATCAATATTTGTTATCAGAGTAAGTTACTACTTACAAATAAGATCAAAATTTGTTATCAGAGTAAGTTATTACTTACAAATAAGATCAATATTTGATATCAGAGTAAGTTATCATTTGCAGATATGATTAAATAATATACTCTGAGCTCAAAACTTATCGATGATACAACTATTCGTTTCCTAAATAATAAACATAAAATTATTGAATTTGAAAGGATTTAATGTTGCATTTTGTTTTTTTAAAAAAAACCAAAAAAAAAATTGCATTATTTTTATTCAAAATAACTTACTTATATCAAAGTAACTTATCACTAGCAATGATATTTCTTTTGGCACAAACTGTTATTTATAGATATTTTTGTGACTTATATCAGTATAAGAAATTCTAGATTAAATTGAAATTTATACTAACTGTAAATAAAATTGAAATTTATAGCAAAGCTAATCTTGAACATTGAATAAGTGATATCTTAGATCATATATTAGTAATTCATTATCAGGAAATTAAAAACTAATTTTAAAAAGTTCTAATTTTTTTACAATAGGAGAAAAAAAAATTATACATTTATTTTAATTTTTTTCCAATTTGCTTGAATTAAAGGACTATAAAAATAATTATTTAAAATTTAGATTCGAATTTTTTTCCCCTTTTTGTTTATCTTTTTCGTATAACATTTTAGTGGTATAATCAAATCGATTTTGAATTGTTTTATTTTAATTTATTATCGAAATGCTATTTGATCATACGTCTATGTTTATTTTTGTTTATTAATTCAGGATATTAATATTTTGCTGGAATATTCTTACTACTGAATTCTCATTAAATTATATATTCATACTGAATTTCTGCTTATTCATTTCGATTTTCGGATTTGCTAATTTTTAATTCGATTAACTATTATTTTGCTTCATCTTTAACTAATTCAAAATGAAATCAAATTAATGAATTTTATTATTATTCACAATTTGTTTGTTAAAAAATGCTGAATTCTTGTTGCTATTTTCTACAAAATATTATATAATCAATTAACGATTTAAAAAAAAAAAAAATTTAAATTAAAAAAATTAATCCAACAATAATGCAATCTACCGTATCTGATCCAACTGCTGCATTATTAGCATTTTCACAATCATTCAAGAAAGTACGACGAGCTGAAACTTTCAAACAACAAAATATTAATCATATATCACTATATCATAATGATAATAGTAATAGCAATGATAATGATAATGATAATGATAATAATAAATATATTAAAATTCGTTCAACAAGTTTACCAAATCCCAGTGATTTATACCTTGTTGTACGTGATAACGATAAACGATTAATGAAAAAAAAAACCTCAATTATGGATAAAATGGAAATTTATCAAAATTATCACCAAAAATATCGATTTAATTCATTAATACCGATAATTACAACAACATTTCCATCTTCATCAATCATTTCAACTAATGATTATCACATTGCAAGGAATAATTGCAATTTTGATCATTATTTACAAACAAATGGTTCAATAGCAATTACTGATAATTGTAAACAAACAAATGATAACACTACAAAATTGTTAAAATCAACATTAATGTTCATTACTAAATTAAATCTCTGTGATACAATGAAGCAATTTCGTAAGGTAAGTTAGTTTACTTTATAATTTGAAATCATAGTAGTAAATAATTTTAATTTAAAATGAATAAAAAAAAAATTAACCTTTCTCTTACTTTTCTTACTATTTCTCATGTCGTTTTCTCTCTCTCTCTCCCTCTCTCTCTCTCTCTCTCCCTCTCTTCATTTTCCACTTTTACATACGAAATATTCAACTATTTTGATATTATAAATTCAATCAAATATTAAATTAAAGCAATATATAGCATTTAAATTACAAATAAATAATTACATTAATTTTTTTTTTCATTCTTTTTTGTTTCCAATTTATCAAAATTTATATTTTGGATTTTTCTGTTCTTTTCACAAATAATTATGGTAGTAAAAGAAAAAAGAAACACCAAAGTGCGTAATATTTTATTGATTTAAATTTTGTTAATTTTTTGAAGTATTTTTTTTTAAGCTAATTTGAAGTATTGAATTGATAACAAATCACTAAATTGAATTAATAATAAATCACTTTTTTTCTTTCCTTTTCCTTTTTATTTAATCTAAATGATGAAAAAAAAAATTTTTTTGAAGTGGTCTATAAGCATTTTTTTTGTTGGATAAAAAAGTTTGATTTTTTTTTTTTTTTTGGTGGGAGGGAAATAAGAAGGAATACGAAATGAAGAAGTTGTCAAAATTTGGAAATGTCAGAGAGGAAAATGATGATTTGAAGTTGAATTAATTCTTTCCTTCTCCCATTTTCATGTTACTTTCAATTATCGCAAAATTTATTCATGCAAACAACAAAAAATTCATATTCCTAAGTTTGGGACATTCATAAATATATATTTTTATATATTTCTTATAAATATATAAAAAAAAATTATCCATAAATAGATTAAACCACTTGTTGGAATATTTGTGAAAAGAATTGGAAAAATAAAAAAAAAAAAACAATTCGATTAATCAGGAAAACATGTTAAATAAAATTTGTATTTATAAATATATTCATAAAATAAATTAAGGCAAATAAAAATAATTGATCTAAAAAAATATTAAAAATTAAATTTTGTAAATTTGAAAATGACTACACTTTTAAATATACAAATTCCGCGTTATCTTTTTATTTTTTTTTTCAAAAAATTCATATTTTCAAGCTTTCCTTTTAAATTAGTTTCTTTTTTTTTGAATAAAAGTTTGTCTTTTTCCAAAGTTAAATAAACTAATTAATATGATTTAATAAAATTAAAAATCTTAAAAAGCCTACATTGTATAACTCAATTTCGAATTTGGTCAAGAATTCTGTATAAAATTAAAAAATTGGTGAAAAATTTTTGGTTCCATTTTTGAAATTAATTAAAATTCAAAGTTAACAAAAAATTCATTAGCAGAGAAACGATTTATATTTGATATATAATCAACCAATTTTCAATTTTTTTTTTTTTTAAATTTTAATCACAATTCTTGGCTGTGTATAATAATTTAACCGAACAAAGATTAGCAAAGAACAGGTAAAAAAAAAAATTATTTACAAGAACATTGATATATATTTCAAATTAAAAAGAATATTTAAAAACAAAAAAAAAAAAAAGAGAGGAATATATTTACAAAAATGACGGAATATTTGAAGTAAATAGAAATGCGCATATTCTATTGATAAAAATTTTTCAACTTAATAATAAAAATGAAGTCACAAATATGATCAATGATTTCATCAAAAAAAGTAAATGAAAAAAAAGAGCTAATTATTTCTTTGATAAATGTATTTTCAAATTAAAAAAAAAAAAAAAGTAACGAATTGAAAATCTGTTATAAACATTAAACATAAATGACGTGTAAAAAAGTTGACAAATCATTTTCAAAGAACAAAAAAAAAAAAAGTAAGATGACATAACTACTATAGTAATAATTTAAAAAAAAAAATCATAGGCTAATATAGAAGAGTGGGAGGTGAATTTAACAGGTGTTTATGACGTACCTTAAAAAAAAAAAAAGAATGAATTGAAATACTGATTATATAAAGCTATATAACTCAGAAAAGTTACTATTTTTTTTAAAAAAAGAAAAAATAAAACAAAAAATTTAAAAAAAAAAGAAACTAATTGATGAAATTTATATGATAAATTTTTTTCAGCCAACATTATTAGAAGATGATAATGCTGAAAATTCATCAAGTGCCTTTTATAAAAGTATTGTTGCAATGCCTGATATGAATATATCACGCACTAAAAAGACAATACCGCTTGTTAGTGAATTGGTATGTTTTTTTATTTAATTTTATTTTATTTTTGCTTTTTAAATTTTTAGTTTGAATAAATATATTTAAATATGAATTAATGCTATGTAATTTAGTCTTATTTGAATTAAATTAGTTTGTGAATTTTTTATAATTTTTACTATTTATTAGCTTAATTAATTAATTTGTTTATTTTATTATTCTAATTGGTGTAATAAATAGCATTAAGTTGACAGTAGTTGAGCTAATAGTAGGTTTGTTTATCATTTTTTAATTCATTTCATGTTGAATTAAATCGATTATTGGATTAGTTAATAGCTAATTTTTTTTTTTTTTTTTTGAAGAGATGATTTTAATTACTTAAATAGTTTAATTAATTAATTAACTAATGAGCTCTTTTTTGCGTCTTACTTAGAGATTCTCAGCTAATAATTAAATTTCTCACTGAGAAAGTTTCATAATTTTGATTACTTAATTAGTTGTTTGATTATTTTCTATCAATTAACTAATTTATTTATTTATTTAATTATTCTAATTAGTTTTTTTAGCAATTGAAAAGCAATAAAATTTGTGATATTTATATCAATCGATTATTACATTATTTTTATTTTTTATTGAATTGATTCGTTCATTAGATTAATTTTAGCTTAAATTATTCAAAAAATAAAACGAATAAATAATTTTTTTTTTTGCTAAAATTTTAACCAATATTAAAATTAAAAAAAAAAGTGTAAATTCAGTTTTTTTTTGAACTAATTTTGTTAGTTTTCTAATTAATCATAATTATTTAAAATGTTATAAATCGTTATAATCAGTGTTTAATTTTCATCCATTAATAATTTATGTTTAAAATCAAAACAAAAAATAAAAAATAAAATAAAAAAAAAAAACAATATATGAGGAAAAATCAACTATTTTTCCTTTTTTCTTTTCATTTATTTACATATTTTCTTTGAATTTTCAACCTTTTTTTTTTTTATTTTCTTTTTTTCAGTAATTTATGGATAATTTTTTTCTAAGTTTTTTCCTTATAAATATTAATTTTTTTTTTATAATCATTAATTTTGTCATTGTTAAACAAATTCATTTATAAGTTGCAAGGTTGAAAAAAGTTTTTTTTTTTGATAAATTTAAATTTTGGCAAAAATTTAACACATTTGAAAATTTTTATTACCAAATTTAAAAGTAAAATAAAAAAGTTTACTTTAATTATATTAAACAATTTTCTTGTCACTTTTCTTTTTTTTTTAAAAAAAAAAGAGTAATTAGCATAAAATGAATAATTAGCACAAAAAGTTTATTTTCTTTTTTTGCAGGTTTTGAAGGTAAGTAAATACCTACAATGCATTCAATTTTTTTTTTTTATGGTTGTTTTTTTTCGATGTTTTATTTTAAATAATAATAATAATAATAGCTTAGCATGGCTTTAATTTATTAATTAAAGATTTATTATTATTGTAATATGTTTATAATATGCTAATTTTATCAATTAAAAAAATTAAATTTTTGTTTATTTTCCATTATTTTTTTGCATGATTGATATTAAAATAATTTAGTAATAAAATTTATAATAAAATAAAATGCACGGAATGAAATAATTTTTACTATAAAAATTATTAAATGGTAGAGGAAGAAATTATTTAGTTTGTAATTTAGTACTAACAATTTTGCTTGCATTAATTTATTGCCAAATTTTTTTTTTTTTATTTTTTTATGGCTAAATCTTTTTGCATGTGCATGTATCAATCCCAAAATTAACTTTTAATTGTTTCTGATAATCAAATTTCAGGTTTCATCTTTTGAAAAAAAAAAAGTTAATTTATCAGAAACAATTGGAATATTTCTGTCATAATAACATTTAATTAATAATTGTGATTTATTAATTTCAAATTCTATTATAATTTAAATAAAAAAAGAAATCTTAACAGATAATGTTGATAAGATGAAAAACTTTTTTCCTTTCTTTTCTATTTCCTTTTTTTTTCGGAATGAAAAACAGTAAATGAATATTTAATTTGTAAATGCAAAAGGATTATTTGAATAACTTTTTTAAGTTCTTTTTATTTCATTTTTTCTATATTTATTAATTAATTTTAGTATTATAAATTTAATTGCTTGGAAGTAATTATTTATCCCTTTTCTTTCTCTCTTTCTCTCTCTCTTTTGCATATTTCTTCTTTTTCAATTTTTTTTTTTTTACAAATTTGAAATTAAATAATTTTATTTGTTCATTTTGATTTTGTTTTTTTTTCTCCGAAAAGAATTTTAAAGCTATTTTAATTAATAACTTTTCATTGCTATATTAAATTTTACTTTCAGTTATAATAAAAAATATCTGTGATAAATTTTATTTATTTATATATATATATATATTAATTTTTATTCAGCTTTATAAAAAAAATTATAATAGTTTTTTTCTTTCAATACAAATTTCAATTTTATTTTTTAAAATAAAAATTTATGAATGAAACAAAGGAAAAAAAAAAGATAATGAAAAGAAAATATGTTTTATTGAAAATAAAAAAAAGTTAAAAAAAACGATAACGCAAAATTTTTGTTTTGTTTAGCTTTGAAATAATTGAAATGCTAACACATTTTGCTTATACGCTTCAAATAATTTTTGTTTGTAAATATTTAGTAATTAACCTGAAATAACTTACTTATCCTTCTGTATTGTTATGTTGTTTTGAAATTAATTAGACATATTTACTAACCAAAATTAATTTAGTTGAATGATGAATGTTTTAAAAGCTTGAATTAATTGTTATCATTGTTATCATTTAGTAATTTATCATTATTTGAATAATCATTTTTTAAAATATGAAATTATGATAATATTAATTGCAGACAATGGCAACAAAACGTGCTCAAGCTGGCCTAGCAAATGCTGCTAAAACAACATTTGGTGATGAAGAATTGGTTAATCAATTTCAAATTATATTTTCTTTTTTTAAAAAAAAAAAAAAAAAAGAAAAATTTGTTTTTTGGATGATAAAAATTTTACTTTGGAAATTAATATTTTAATCTAAATTAGTTAGCATTTATTTAGTTTTGACAATGCGTTTTTCTGCATCTATCATTGTTTACTTATTATTATTATTATTATTATTATTATTATTATTATTATTATTACTAATGCTATTATTATTATTATTATTATTATTAATTATTATTTTTTTTTTTTTTTTCAGAAAATGCATGTTTACAAGAAAACATTGCAAGCCTTAATTTATCCAATCAGTTGTACAACACCGCATAATTTTCAATTGACTAATTTTCAAACTCCAACATGGTGCCATGAATGTGAAGGGTTATTGTGGGGCCTAGCTCGACAAGGTTAGTCTAGTATTATTTATGATGCTAAAGTTTTATTAAGCAAATAAGACTAGCATATCAGGTATTTCATATCGTTCTAGTTGTTGTTGTTTATTCGTGCAGCAATTAACACAATTGTTGTTTGATCAGTATAATAGGCATAATCGCCAAAACTCTGATTGAAATTTAAATTGTTCAACAAATTTTTAAGCTTTGGGTTATCTTAATTCTCTTTGAAATGAATGTTTTTTTTACAATAATGAATAATTTCCCTTTTTTAAATTGCCTACATAATTAGTTGCATAACAAATAGCTTTATCCTTTATTAATTATAAATTTATATTTTCAAAAAATAAAAATACTAATTTAATTGTTTAAATTGTTAAATTTGAATTATTTCAAGGTTTAAAATGTGCAGAATGTGGCGTTAAAGTACACGATAAATGCCGTGATTTATTAAGTGCCGATTGTTTGCAAAGTATTCATTTTTAAATTTTGAATAAATTTAAAAAGAAAAAAAACTCCAACCCAACTTTTTTTTAATCCAATAAAGTAAATATTTAATGAAAAAGGAAATCTGATATGTTATATGAAGAAGAAATTTTGTTGTAAAGTATAACTGTCAAATTTAACATTTTAATAAAGTTTTTTTTTCTTTTTTTCTCTATCTCTTTTCTCGCTTCATTTCATTTCAATTATTTCAACAATTTTACGCTCTTTTGCATTTAAATTACAAAAAGTTGTCAATTTTACGAGATGAAATTCATTTGAAGGAGCGGCGGAAAAAAGCTCAAAACACGGCGAAGGTAATCGAACACAAAATTTAATGGCAGTAATTCGAGAAAGGATGAAAATGCAAGAGAGAAATAAGCCTGAAATCTTTGACACTGTTAGGTTTGTTTTTCATTCAAAATTGTGTCACATTTAAATGTTGACATTTTAATTACATCTAATTAATTAATTATTTAAGCATAGCTGTAATTGATTAGTTTATTATGCAAATTTTTATTGTTCATTGTTACCATTATTGTTATATTATTATTACTGCAATCGTTATTACTGCTATTATGATTATGATTATTGTTATCATTATCATTATTAATTATAATAATTAATATTAGCTATATAATTATTTTTATCAGTTTAACATTCTAATTTGTCACAATTAGTTTTTTTTTTTCTTCTTTTACACCATAATTACTAATATTGAAAATTTTTTGATTAACAACAATATTTCAAATAGATTTTGAATCATTTTTAATTGAATGATTGGTTTCTTTTAAAATGTTTTGTAATTTTTCCAAAAAAAAAACAAAAAAAAACCAAAAATCCAGCATTTCATGCTTCTAAATAAAATGCAACTTTATAATTAAATGATTAATTAGTCCTAAAATGATTTCTTATATTTTTGAAAAATTTCCAAGTAAATAATGATTAAATGATTAATTAGCAATAATAATTAAATATTAATTAATTAATTAACTGGTCTTAAAATGATTTCTAATACTTCAATATCATATTTAGGATCATATTTAATGTTGATTTGGAAACACAGGAAGAATCACTGAAACAGGTGAAAACAAGTATTCTAGAAGGTAGCTCAAAATGGAGTGCAAAAATTGCTCTTACTGGTAATAATTTCTTAAAATTAAAATATAAAATTTAATCTGTTGTCTATTTTTAAATGCTATTTCTTTTTTTTTATTTATTTGAATTATGTTAAAAATTGATTTAAACCACCTTAAGGAAGAGGAATAAAATTTTCTGCAAATGATAAAAGAGAAAAAACTTGAAAAAATTAAGAATTGAAATGAATGATGTGATTTATAAAACGAAAATATATTTTTTAATTTTTTTTCCAAAAAAGAAAAACATATTTCTACTAATTTATTGCATATCGTTAATTAATAGTTTTAATTAATTAGTTTGCTATATAACTCTGATTTGATAAAAATGTAATTTAAAAAAAAAAAATGAAAAGTGTTCAATTTTATTCCATTAATTATTGAAGAAAATCGATGTAATTGAAATTTGAAATGAAATTTATCAAGTTAGAGATGAAAGTTGTGCTTTTTTTTAAATCTATTTAATTTCCAATTAAATGCTTTTAAATCTATTTAATTTCCAATTAAATACTTTTAAATCTATTTCATTTCCGATTATCTATGTATTTTTTTTTTCTGCAAGAATTTTTTTTTAAAAAAGAAAAAAGGAAAGAAAAATTAATATCTAATTTCAGTGATATGTGCTCAAGGTTTAATAGCCAAAGACAAAACGGGTAAAAGTGACCCATATGTTACCGCTCAGGTAGGTAAAATGAAGAAACGTACACGTACAATACATCAGGAATTGAATCCAATATGGAATGAAAAATTTTTTTTGTATGTTTACAACTTTTTTTTTTTTTTTCAAAATAAAAATGAAAAGAAGAAAATTACGCAACAAATTTTAGAAAAGAAAATTGATTGATAAATATTAATTAATTGTGGAATTTAATTTATTCATTTCATTAAAATATTTAAATGATAGCAAATAAATTGAATATTATTATTAAAATACATTTTTTTTTCTGTCTTTCTAACAAATTACGAATTAATTACTGAATAATTATACATTGTTAATTTTTAAAAACAAAAAAGAAAAAATAGATTTTAATTAAAATTATATGATGGATCAGCGAATTATTATTTTCATTCTTTTTTCTTTTTTTTTTAAAAGTTGCAGCAAAGAATAAAAACAAAATTGTATTGAATGATTCTTTCAGCAATTATTCTAATTTAATAAATTTGCTATAAAATAATAGAAACTTGTTTCTGACGAAAATTTCTTTCTTATTAATTTATTTTTTTCAAATACATTTACGCATCTATGAGATTTAAATAATATAATAATTATTGATTTAAAAATCACAATAATAATGGTAATAACAATTACAGTAATAATAAATAATAATAGTATTAGTAAGTGGTAATCAATAGTAATAATAATAATTAACAAATACTAATAAATAATAATAACAATAATAGTAAAAGTGTAGAAATAGATTTAATTTTGATAATTTTCAAAGAAAAAAAAAGTCGAATTTATGAGAGATAAATTTATGCCATTGAAAATTTCAATTAGCAAATTTACCAGTAATATTAGTAAATGTTTACAGCGAATGTCATAATTCAACGGATCGAATTAAAATTCGTGTCTGGGATGAAGATAATGATTTGAAAAGTAAATTGAGGCAAAAATTGACCCGTGAATCGGATGATTTCTTAGGTCAAGCAATTATTGAAGTACGAACATTAAGTGGTGAAATGGATGTTTGGTATAATTTAGGTTTGTTTTCCTTTTTTTTTTTAACTCTTTTTCTAAACATTTGAAGCAAATTTAAAATGGAAAGAAAAATGGTAGCAAAATTAAATGAAATGATATTTTATAAATGAACGAGTTGATTAGCTATTTAATTAATGTAATAAAGTTTGATTATTCATATTGCATTATATTAGTTGGTAAATAAACTAAAATTTAATTAATAACTAGTTGATCATTAAATGATTTCAAGTTTTACATATTTTTTTTTCTATTTTCTGTTTACTTTTTTCTTTATATTTTTTTTTCTATTTGTTGTTAATTAATTAATATTTAATATCAGTTTAAAAAATTTGCAATTATATATAAAAATTGAAGCAATCAAATTAAATGTTTTTTGCGTTTTTGCAATTTAAATTTAATGAGAAATTTTGAATTAATTAAATTTATCTCTGTTTACTAGTTTTGAAATCATTTTAATTTTTATAAAATTTAATAATTTAAATTTTTTTTTCCTTTTTTGGATATAATCAATATTAGTTGTGATTACATGTGTTTCCGTTTGAAGAAATGCATTTTATTTTAATTTTTTTTTTATTGAAGTAGCATTTTTATATTTTTATTACTTTCAAATCAAACCGATTTGTTTTTTTTTTTCGCTAATGTTAAAAAGTCAAATGTTAGATTTTTAAAGATTGCAATTAAAATTTTTTTTTCTAAATGAAAAATTTGTTATTTATTATTTATAGAGAAACGAACGGATAAATCAGCAGTTAGTGGTGCTATCCGATTACATATTAATGTTGAAATTAAAGGTGAAGAAAAGTTAGCACCGTATCATATCCAATACACATGCTTGCATGAACATTTATTTCAAGTAAGTATTAATGTTTCCTTGTCTATTAATCCTAGCAGTGTTATTGTATGTGTTAATGTTTCCTCGTCTACTAATCCTAGCAGTGTTATTGTATGTGTTAATGTTTCCTTGTCTACTAATCCTAGCAGTGTTATTGTTTCCTTGTCTACTAATCCTTTATGTTTACCATTATTATTTGTTTACTTTTTTCATTTTCATTACCATTATTATTGCATGCTTATTTATTCTTTTGTTTTTTTGTTTTCTTAACTATCTACTTTATTTATTTATTTGTTTGTTTTTTTCTTATTTATCATACGATTAATGTTTATCTACAAATAAATTTTCCATTCATTCATTTATAGCATCATTGCACGGAACAGGATGAAGTACGATTACCGGAAATAAAAGATGATTCATGGAAGGTATATTTTGATGATACCGGTCAGGAAATTTGTGATGAATTTGCTATGCGTTATGGTATCGAAAGTATATATCAGGTTAATATAGCTGCAATTTTTTTTTTTTAATAAAATAATATATTAACAATAATTTTTTTTTAGTTATTTAATGTAATAAATTTTTTATTGTTCTAATAATAATAAAAAAAAAATTAATGCAAATAAAATTGAGATTCTTTTTTAGTTTTGTATAATAATTTAAATCTGATACGTTTGTAATAAATTTGTGCAAATTAAAAAAAAGAAAAAAACTAAGTATATATTTTAATTTTTCCACATAATACAATCAAAAATTACCACAAAAACAATGAATAATTTGACGTATTCATAGAACGAAAGCGTGATTTTGACGTGTCAATTTAATAAAATAACGTGATAAAAGTTCAATTCTTATTATAAGTAACTATTAAATCAGTGTGATACTTTTATCATAATTATTATTTATTATTCGTATTAAATGTTATGGTATCTTTTTTAATAATAAAAAACGGAAAAGAAAAAAAGAATTTTCTTTTGCAAATTTTCTTTCATTTATTTTTACTCAAAATAAAATTAATTTTCTTTTCAATGTCAATTTTAATTAAATTATTTAACTTTAAGACTAATTCTTCTTTCTTTTTCTCATTTATCAGAAATAAATATTTCATTCAGGCAATGACACATTTTGCCTGTCTCTGCACACGTTATATGTGTTCCGGTGTTCCGGCCGTACTCTCAACACTTCTAGCTAATATTAACGCATATTATGCTCATACGACCGCTACGTCAGCTGTTTCCGCATCTGATCGCTTCAATGCTTCTAATTTTGGCCGCGATCGATTTGTTAAACTATTGGATCAGTTGCATAATTCATTACGAATTGATTTATCAATGTATCGGGTAAATTTGCTTGCCTAATTCATATGTTGGATAAATTTACCTTTCTTTGTTTTATTTTATTTTGGGTAGATTTATTTATTTTTTTTTTCATTCAGTTACTGGGCAAATTCCATCTGTTTTTTACCTATATATAGGGTAGGTTACCTTTCCTTTTTTCATTTATCTATTGAATAAAATGCTTTTTGTTTTTTTAATTTACCTTTTTGATTGCTTTTTTTTTATTCCTATATTTGATTCTTCTTTTATTCATTTGTTGGGCAAATTTCATTCTTTTTATCCATTTATTGGGTAAATATCTCTTTTTCCTTTTTTTTTCAGTCTGTCTATTTGGTAAATTGCCTTCATTTTTGGTTAATATATCAAATAAATTGAAATTTTTTCTTTTAAATTCATGTATTACTTCGATTAGATTGCATTTTTAATCCATATAGATTGATTTTTTTCTTTTCATATATTAAATAAACTGCCTTTTATTTTTTTTATTCATTTGTTAGGTAAATTATCTTTTTCCTTTTCCAATTCATAAAATGAGTAAATTTAAGTTTTGTTTATTTGTTTTTTATAATTTACCTTCAATTATTTTATATTTCATTTATAAATTCGATTCAAAAAAAAAAACAATTCGTTTCATTTTCTTTTTTTCGATAATAGCGAAATTTTTATAATTTTGGGCAATATTTATTCAACTAAAAAAAATTGGTAATTCTTTTTTTTTCAAATTATAAAAAAATATTACTTAGAAAAATGAAATAAATGAATAATAATTATAATAAATTGCAATTTGTTAAGATTTTAGCAAGCAATTTATTATTCAAATTTATTTATTTCTAAATTAAATTTACAAATTTATAATTTTAATCCCAAAATTTCATTCAAATACCTCAAAAAAAAATTTTTGTAATAGTAATGCAAAAAAAGTTTCGAAAATTTACCAAAAAAATATAGAAATTTTAAAAGTAAAAACGGAAAGCGAATGAAAAGAAAGGGAGAGAGAGAGAGAGAGAGAAAGAAAGAAAGATGGAAAAAGAGAAAATTTGATTGGTTTGTATAAAATATATTCAAATTTTTATAATTGTTAGCAATATTTAACCCAAAATAGATGATTTTAATTAATTAGTTGTCAACAAATATTGATTTCCTTTTTATAATCTTTCAATTATTTGAGAATATTTTCAAATTTTTTGTTGCTGCTACCACTTTTTTTAAAAAAATTGTCTATTTTCTCATCTAGAAATTTTTATTTTTTTTAAATTTTCTAAATTCATTTAAATTGAAAAATTTACTAAATCACAAATATAATTTACTAAGATATCATTGGAATATCATGGTAGGAAATTTTGTACTATTATCATATTATTTATTATTTCTTAACATTTTAAAAATTTAAAATTCATCAGGATATTTCGGGAATTAAATCTCTATTGAATTTAATAAAAATTTAAAATGTATTAAATTTAATATTTGTTGTTGAAGTTTCAAAAGTAAATAAATGAAATATGTATGTAAACTAATTTCATAATTATTTTAATAAATTTTCAACTATAAATTTTAATAAGAAAGTCATTGCAGAAAGAGATGGCAATCATTTTTCAATAAATTTAATATCATTTTTTTTTAGCCATAGATATACTAAAAGTTTTTAAGCTTCTTAAATTAAAAATCGTACATTTTATTTTTAGAAGACTTTATTAATCATCTTTTATTGATAAATGTTAATATAAGTGATTAGAGTTATCATTGTTATGGCTATGTCTTAGCTAATCATTACTTTTAAATATGAAACTTTAACTTTGTTTGATTTTATTTTATACAAATATAATAAAGTAAAGATTTTGCGAGTTATTTTTAGAAGATTTTATTAATCATTTAATATTGATAAATGATATTGTGTATCATTAATTTATGTAAAATATGTTAAGTGATTAAATGATAATAATTTACTTTATCTGAGCAGAAAATATTTTTTAGATAATTTTGCAATTACTTTTTACCACTTTTAATTGTTAGCTTTTCTAACAATGTTTATACCAAAATTAGAAATGCAAAAATTTAATCATACTCAAAATTATATTAAAAATGTTAATAAACAAGCATTGTGTATTGAGATATCTCGGGAGTACTAAATTTTAATTAAGTAATATTTTTTTATTTTTTTTCTTAAAAGCATTATAAATATAAATAATGCAATATAAATTATCTCATTATTCTTTTTTTTTAATGCAAATACATTCCTATTTTTATTCTTAAATAATAAATTTCTATCATTTAATAATTTAAAAGAAGATAAAAAAATTTTTTTTTTCGATTTTATTTATAAATATTTGGTGAGAGAAAAATAAAGAAAACGAAAAGATAAAACAAAAGGAAAATATAAAACGAATAAAATTGCCATTTCCTTTCGAAGTCTTAAAAAGCTTTTTATTTTTCTTTTTTTTTTTTATTTTGAAATATTTTTGTTTTTAATTGAATGCATTTTCCCGCTGCTCAAAATTATTTTCATACTTTCTTATTCAATATTTTTCTCATTTTATGCAATCGTTTATTCAAAAGCATTAAAATAATAATTGAATAATCATTTAATTTTTTTTTTTTTATTTAAATTTTATTAACCTTTTATATGGGATTTTTAACCTTTGCTATAACTGTTAAAAATGCATAATATTTCTTTATTTTAATATAAATAATTTCAAATCTTTTCATTATAATTTAACGATTTAGATAATTAATTATTCATTTAGATTAAAATTTATAATTGAATAAAAAAAATAACATTCGAAATTTCACAGAAATAAATTATATTTGAGAGTTTTTTTTTTGAAAATTCAAATTGTCTTTTCTTCTTTTTAAAATCAATAAATTTAAATTCAAATTTATATTTGCAAAGAAAAATCGAAACAACCATTTTATGAAGCATTTTTTCCCCATTTTCTAGATATAGCTAATTAACTGAAAGTTCAAAAAAAAAAAAAAATTAAATTTTATAAATGTTATATATTGCAATTATTTTCTTAAATCAAAATTAAATGTGCAAAAATTTGACCATATTTAAAAATTTATTTAAAATTTTAGAAGTGCTAAACAATTTTGTTGTTTACAACTTGAAAAAGTTGAATGAAAATGAATTTTTTGCGAAAAATAAAAAACATAAATAAAACTAAGATAGGAATTCAAAAAGAAAAGCGATACATTTGCATAAAATAATTATTTTTTTTTTCTCATTCAAAATACATTAATCTTTTTTAGTATTATATATTGAATTAATATTCCATCTTAATAATTTAAATCATTTTTCATTTTACTTGAATTTAATTCTATCTCATTTATTGATTTGATTTTATTTGATCAATTAACATAAATAATATTTTATATTTGAACAATTTTATAAAAAGATATATTCGTTTTAAACTGTCATTTCTTCTTTTTTTTTTCACATACATAAAAACTTATTATTTTATAAAAGAATTTCAATTCAAATATTTTTTGATGCCTTTTTTTTTCATTTCATATGTTCTTTTCTATTAGATTATTGAATATGTTTGAAAATTATTGAAATTAGTAAATGATTTGTTGATTTTTGCTCAAAAAATTTATTTTTGATTTAATGATTTTAAAATTTTCGAATAATTTATTAACACCGATTAATACTTGGGGTTTAATCAATTTGAAATATTCAAATAGTTTATTAATACGATACTTAATATAATCAGTTTATAATATAATTTAAATCCTATATTAGAATTAATTAAACAAATTTATCAACTAATAATACATTTATCTTTCAATTTATAACTTACTTCTCACATTTCGTTTTTATTTATATCAAATATTTTATTTTATATTTAAGTATAATCTTATATCATACTTTTGAATTAATTACGCACTGATATGATTTGTTTCATTTTTGATTATTTTATATATCTCAGTTATGAATTAGATAATGAATAATATACTAATTAAGTAATGAATAATGAATAATAATAATATAATAATGATGATAACAGTAATGAATAATAGCTAATAGATTATTTAATTATTTCATTATCTTTCATTTATTTTTTTATCTATTATTTACTTTATTATTACTTTCCATTATTTAGTTTACTTTTACTTCACTATCCATTAATCGATTACTTAATTTATTTTTACTTCACTATCCATTAATCGATTACTTAATTTATTTTTACTTCACTATCCATTAATCGATTACTTAATTTATTTTAACTTCATTATCTATTAATTTTTTACATTTTTATTATCTCTTATTTATTTTAGGCATACGCAGTTAATATACAATTATTTTACTTTATTATTATTACTAATGAATTTTTTCATTTTTAAATTATTAATTAATAATTAAAAATTGTTTGCAGAAATATTTTCCATCATCATCGCCTGCTAAATTAGCTGATTTAAAATCAACGGTCGATTTGCTAACATCGATAACATTTTTTCGTATGAAAGTATTAGAATTAGCAAGTCCACCACGTGCATCTAATGTTGTAAGTGAATGCGCTAAAGCTTGCATGCAGGTAAGATAATTTCAACTATTTTCATTTAATTTAATTTTTTGAAAAAAATTTTGAAGCAAACATTTTTCATTCTTATAATATAAATTTGAAAATTAATAATTTAATTGAGGAAAAAATAAACAAACAAAAAAAATGAGAAAGAAAAAAACAAAATGCAAAATTTATATTTCGATTTGTTTTTTTTTTTTCGAAACTTAAAATATAATAGACTATATTTTGCATACATTATGAAGTAAAAAAAGAAAAAAAGAAAGAAATTCTTGAAAATAAGAATATATTGATTTTTTTTCCTTGAAATTAATAAATATTTAGTTTAAATTTAATTTTTGAAATTTAATTTTCAGGCAACATATCAATTAATGTTTGAAAGTTGTTGTGAAGATGGTGGCCCATCAGCTGATAGTGTTAATTTTTGGTTTGATTTTCTTGATTATATGATGCGGGTAATTGAAGATGATAAAAATATCTATACACCTGTACTAAATCAATTCCCGCAGGAATTAAGTGTGGGTAATTTATCCGCTGCAACGCTATGGCAATTGTATAAAACTGATTTACAAATGGCATTAGAAGGTTAGCAAAATTGTTGTTAATATTAATTTCATTTCAATTTAATTTAATTGCAAAGAAAGAAAAAAAAACAAAAGGAAATAAGAAATTGAAATGTGAAATTTAATTTAAGAGGAAAAAATTAATTTTTTTTCTTCTCATAATTTATTCTATTTTACAATTCATAATAATTAATAATACTTATAACAACGATAATAATCGTAATAATACTCGTACGTGAAAATTGCGGAAATAAAATGAATCGAATTAATATAAAATGCTTAGAATTGTTTTCTTACGTGAAAAATTACGGAAGTGAGTTGAATCAAATTAGTGTATGAAATGTTTGCGTCTAACTAAGCAGTTTAACTCTTACGTGAAAAATTACGGAAGTGAGTTGAATCAAATTAGTGTATGAAATGTTTGCGTCTAACTAAGCAGTTTAACTCTTACGTGAAAAATTACGAAACCAGAATGAATCAAATTCAGATTAAAATTGAACTTAATTTTTCCGTAAAATTTTACGGAATTGAAATAAATTAATTTAATACGAAATTGTTTTTCTTTTGTTTTTTTTCCTTCCTATTTCAGAACATGCACAAACGAAGAAATGCTCTACACCGGAATATATGAATTTATATTTCAAAGTTAAAGGCTTTTACTTTAAGTATGTAGCTGACTTACCACAGTATAAAGATTCAATTCCGGAATTTCCTGCGTAAGATTTTCTTACATTTCATTTTCTTTATTTTTATTTTTTGAAATAATAATTATTTTCCTTTTATCTTTTAAGAAATTAATTCTTTTTAAATAATAATTTAATTTTAAAGATTGTAATTTAAAAAAATATAAAAACTATATTACAAATATTTGCTATTTTAACTTATTTTTTGCGTAAAAAAGTGACAAATATTTTATAAAAAATAATATATTGGAAATTAATAGCTATTAATTATTGGAGGAATATTTTTTGTTTATAAAACAATTATAAAAAGAAAAAAAAGAAAGGAAATAAATATATTTGAAGAAGAAACAAAACAAACAAATAACTATGCTAAAAAAATTGTTTATTTGTCTTTTATTTAAATTTTCAATATTTTTTTAAAAAGGATGAAAAAAATTATTTTTTCTTCTAATTACTAATATATTAGGGTTTGAAAATGAAAAATTTGATTAGATTTAAATTTATTACACTTTTTTGTTTTATTTTGTTGTCATTATTTTTTGCCATTTGTTATTTAACATTAATTACATTAATTAAAATTGATTATTTACTAAAATAAAAACTGTTACAAATGTATGAAATTTTTCTAATATTTGTAAATATTAAATTAATTTCATTCATATTTTATTAATATTTTAATATTAAATTTATTTTTATTTTATTATTATCATTATTATTTGCAAAAAAAAAATCAATTCAATTTTTTTTTTTTTAAATTTTTTTTTTTTTTATTTTTATTTTTTAATTTTTGTGCAGTTGGTTTATACCATTTGTAATGGATTGGTTAAATGAAAATGATGAGCATTCAATGGATATTCTACGAAATGCATATAATCGTGATAAAAGTGATAACTTTCCACAAACATCGGAGCATACGAAATTTTCAAATTCTGTTATTGATGTATTCACACAGCTTAATGAAGCATTAAAATTATTAAAACAGGTAGAATTATTTTCAAATTAATATTCTTTCTTTTTTTTTTGTGATTAATTAATTCAAACTATGAAATTTGTTTGTTTTATGAAAAAAGTTTTGAAATGAAATAAAAATAAATAAATTAATGTAGTAGTTTGAAGAAAATTTTTTAAAAATTTATTATTCTTTCCTTCTTTCCTTCCCTTTTTTTTTTGTTTATAATAAAATAATTAAAATTAAAAAATTTTTTACTTTATGAGACTTTTCAAAGTTTTTAAATGAAAAAAAAAAAATGAAAAATTGAATAATTGGTTGCAGAAGTTTGAAGAAAATTTCAAAAAAAAAAATTTATTCTTTCTCAAATTTATTCTCTTCAGAAATTGTTTTGTGAAATTTTTTAAATGTTTCAATAAAAATTTATTCCTTTTTCACTCTTTTTCTTTTCTTTTGTAATAAAATTATTAAAAATTAAGAAATTGTTTGCTTTGTGAAACTTTTTGGATATTTTAAAGTTTTTAAATGACAAAAAAAATTAGCCAAATTTAAATTTAAATTAGTGTAGAAATTTGAAGAAAATTTAAAAAATTTTTTCATTTTTCTATTTCCTTTTTTTTTCCAAAAAAGAAAAAAAAAAAAAAAGAAGAATTTTGCATTGATAAATTGAATTATACAAATAATAAATGTGTTAAAATGAATGCAATTTGCACATATGAAAATAATTGGACGAATTTTGCGAGGAAAAATAAAAGCAAATAATATATTTAAAAAAAAGTAAACAAATGAATAAATCAAAATAATGTGAGAAATTTTTTTATTTTTGCAAAAAAAAAAAAAGAAATAATTTATTTTTATTTTTGAATAAAATCGAATTCAAAATTGATTCACTTCTTTATAACTAAAAAAAATGAACGAAATTAAAGTTATTTTCTTGGAAAGCTTATTATTTTTAAAATTTATTGAATTATGCAAAACCTAAAGAAATTGAAATTTTTCAAAAAAAAAAAAAACAAAACAAAACAAAAATTAGAAAATATTTAATAAATTTTTTTTAACAAAAAAAAGAAAAAGAAATGCATTTTATATTATGAGAAATATTTACATTTTGCATTCACATATTTCATTGCTTAATTTTTTATTTTTTTTAAAAAAAGAAAAAAAAACAAAAATTCACGAAATTTCATAAAATAATTATTTAAATTTCCAGCAGATCAACCAATAGTTAAATTATCTGAATCCGGAAATCAACCTATTTTTGTATTTTTTTTTTTATTTTTCTAATTTGCTATATTCAATATCTCTAACACTTATAATTTCCGTTTTACCAATCCTAAATATTACAGAAATGAATTATTAACTAAATCCGGAAACCAATCTGTTTTTTTCCAACTTGTATCATCTCTGACATCCATAATTTCCATTTCATTCATGATTTCCTAAATGTGTGGATGAATTATTGGCCGGATCCGGAAATTAACTTGTTTTTTTATTTATTTTTGTTTTTCCAACATTTCTAGCACTTATAATTTCCGTTTTTCCAATCCTAAATATTATAGAGATAAATTATTAACCGAATCCGGAAACCTGTCTGTTTCTTCTTGTCTTTTTTTTAACTCCTTACCATATCTGACATTCACAATTTCCATTTTATTCATAATTTCTAAAGTGTGTGAATGAATTATTAGTCGGATCCGGAAATCAATTTGTTTTTGTATTTTTCTTTTTTGTCTCCCAGTTTGCTACATTTATACGTATATATTCAGCATCTTCAACATTCATAATTTCCATTTACTTAATCCGGAATATTGTAGATGGATTGTCCAAATCCGGAAGTGTATGCGGATATGATGAAACGATTTTCGAAAACACTAAATAAAGTTTTGCTAGCATATGCTGATATGGTACAAAAGGATTTTAACAAATTTGTTAGTGATGAAAAACTTGCATGCATACTGATGAATAATGTTCAACAACTTCGGTTTGTTTTAATTTTTCTGTTTCTTTTTTAAAAAATTTTTTTTTCTTTTTTCAAATATAATTTTAAAAAAAAATTAAAAAATGAAAGTTGGAATTGTTAAATATGTGGAAAATTTTTAACTAAATAAAGGTTTAAATTTATGAATAAGCAAAGAGATTATAAAAATTAGTAAACATTTTAATTCATAAATAATTGATAATTTATTTATCAAAAAAAAAAAATTTTAATTTATAAACTTAAAAAAGAGGTAAAAAGGTTTTTATTTCTCGAATTTTTGCTATTTTTTCTGACAAATCATTTTAATGCACTAAAATATGAATGAAGTTTTAAATTTTTGAAAAAAAAAAAAATTTTTTTCTCATAGCATACGATATTTGGAAATGGAAAAGAAAGAAAAGAAAAAAATTTTTCAATATATTTTTTTCTTTTTTTCCAAAAAAATACAAAATTTTGTCGCATAACTGAATTTATTACTGAATTATATAAATTTATTCTGAATAACTAAATTTGTACTAAATAATTTCATACTAAATTCATACTAAATCACTACATTTGTACTAAATAATACTAAATAAAATTACAAACATTTAAATACAAATGAAAATTTTCAGTTTTGCAAAATAATGATTTGAAAAAGAAATGGAAAAAGAAAAGTGATTATCAGTTTATATTTTTCAAACTTACAATTTCGTGTTTGCAAATTATGCAATAGTATTTGCTTGCAAACATGCAAGTATTTGTATTGCAGTTATAGTAATTGATTTGATTAATGTGTTATCATCAAGTAATAATTTTATCACTGTAAAATCTGAAATTATGCTGATAATCTGATCGATTTAATCGCTAAAGTTGTACTGATAATCTGTTCAATATAGTTCCTAAAGTCTGATTACATTAATGAGTTAGTATAATCTTCGTAATTATACTGATAATCTGATCAGTGTTATCCCTGCAGTTATACTGATAATCTGATCAGTGTTATCCCTGCAGTTATACTGATAATCTGATCAGTGTAATGTTTGCAATTACACCGATAATGATAATTTGATCAGTGCAATATTTATTACAGTTATACTAGCAGAATGATCAATGTACGATCAAACAGTACATTGTTAACTTGATCAGCATATTCAAATTATACTGATAATCTTATCAATGTAATATCTATGCTTACACTGATAATTTAACCAGTAATAATTTTATAATTCTAGTGATAATATTCAATGAAATGCTGTATAAATGTTTAATTTTAAATTTTTGATCTATTTTAGGGTACAATTGGAGAAAATCTACGAGAATATGGGTGGTCCAAATCTTGATCCAACTGCAAATACTGTATTAAATAATCTTCAGAAGAAGCTTAATGCTGTTTTAAATAAATTATCAGGACAATTTGTGGAAAGTTTAGTGCCAAATATTCATGTACAAATGAATAAATTGGGCGTTATTTTGAGTAAAATTAAAGGGCCACAACTGCCGAAAAGTCAATTAGTTGCAGTAAGCCATTTTTTCATTGTTAATTTAATATTTTATATTAAAATAATAATAACAATTAACATAAATTTAATTGAAATAAACAAATTATAATCGATTTTTCTTTCCGTTTTGTCTAATTTTTTGTTTTTTTTGGCTTTTTTTTTTTAATTAATTATATTGTTTTAACAATTTTTTTTTGCAACATATTCTTCTAGCAATTTAATATTCTATGTTAAAATATTTGTCGCATTAATTTTTATTAAAATAAATTAAATTGAAACTAATAGCTTAAGCAAATTCTTTCATATTCTTTTGTCATCATATTTATGATAGAAATTGATAAAATATATTGTTTACATTGATTGTATCGATATTATTTATTTAAAATTTGCAAAAAAAAAAAAGAAAGAAAACAACAATTATAAAATCTGCAAAAAATTATTATCTATTTAAATAAATTTGCAAAAGAGATATAAATTTTTTCATTCATAATTTAAAAATTTTAACCTTATTCATTTATTTTTTTGATAAATTACTTTTGATCAGTTTCAACAATGGAATTATTTATGAAATGGAAATTGAAATAAAATTTTAGGAGGTAGATTCGGTACTTGAACCACTGATGGAATTATTGGAGGATAAATTGCAAGATTATGCATCACAATGCGAAAAGACAGTATTAAAGTATTTGCTGAAAGTATAATTTTCAAATTTATTCAATTAATTAAGAATGAAATTAATTTACAATTTAAATTAAAATTTTAAAGGAAAGTTAAAAATTAAAGACATTTGAATTTGAAAACAGATTACATACAGTTGTTAGCAGGAATTTGAATTTTTTTTTCATCGTTTCCTAAAATTTAAACTTTAATTTTTATCAATTCTACGAAACTAAAAAGAAAAAGAAAAAGATAACTGATAATAATAAAGGAATAAAATAGGAAAGAATAATGATTTCTTTTTTTTGATGGAAATTTTTTAAAAATTACTTAAAAATAAACATTTAGGAGTTTACATCTTTTGATTTGATTATTAAAATTATTCAATCAATTGTTAGAATTATTTTAAAAAAAGTAGAATTAAAAATAATTAATTCTAAATTTGATCAATATCCAGTCATTCATTTGAAATATTTAAAAAAAAAAATTAATGATGAGAAAAATTTGGTTTTAATTTATTTTTTTATTTTTTTTTTAAATTTATTTTTTATAGGAATTATGGCGAGCAACGATAACAAGCATGGAAAAATTAGTTGTTTTACCACCGCTTGATAATAAAGCAGTATAATTTATTGATTTTTTATTTTTTAAAATTTTATATCCAATAATTTCAATTTTTGCATTATAATTAGTCATAATAATTTGTTGAAATTCTCAGCTACAGTAATTATTGAAAATTTTGTGAAAAAAAAAGTTAGTTATTAAAAGTATTAAAAATTTTTGAGGTATTAAAGGAACGTTTAAAAAAAATAAAAATAATAAAAAAAGAAATAAAACTCAATTACTAAAAGGAACAAAAATGTTTTCAAATATTTATGCTATTCAAAGTTTTAATTCAATGAAAAAGTTTTTTTTTTTTTTTGTTCTTTATTTTTAAAATTTATGAAGTTGAAAATTTATTTTTTACTTATAATCGTAATTTTATTTAGTTTGAAATGATTATTATTGAAATTTCGATTATTATATAACTTTTGTTTATTTTTAGATTTTGAAACAAATACCAAATGCAGAAGTATTCTGTGATATGACAAAGCTAATGTCAACTCATTTAAAAGAAGTGAAAAATATAAGTTCAGTGAAGGAAATGATGGTAAATCAATCATTTTACTAATTAATACATTATCTTATCATTTTAATGAAATTTTTATTTTATTGTAATTTTTTTTTAAATGTAATTACTTGTAAATATAACATAATTACTTATAATTGTTTATACTTATTATACAAATATAATTACTTATGATAGTTTATATTATTTTATTTTTAACATTTTTTTTTCTTCTTTAACTTAATTTATTATTTTAACAAAAAAAAGGTTTTTTTTTTTTCAAATATAATTTAAATGTATATTTGTACCAGTAATTATTTAAGACGGATTATTAAAATTCTTTTTTTGTCTTTACTTTTTTAAGTAATTTCTTTTTTTTTTTTGAAAATATTTGAATTAATAATAAATAATGATTCCTCTTTTTTTTGGATTAATTAAAATTAAACTAATTTAGGATATTGCTCGAGAATATGAGCGTTCTTTAACTCCAAAGCAGTGTACAGTATTGGATGCAGCATTAGATGCTGTAAAAGAATGTTTTCATGCCGGTGGTCAAGGATTGAAGAAATCGTTCTTCGAGAAATCACCTGAATTGCAATCATTGAAATATGCCTTATCGTTGTATACTCAAACTACCGAACAACTCATTAAAACGTTTATTACCAGTCAAAAGCAACAAGGTTTGTTTATGGATTTATTTATTATTTTTATTTGCTTGTTTATTTATCAGTTTATTCATTAATTTTATTTTTTTATTGTTTATTTCTGTGATCATTTATTTGTTTGTTTGTTTGTTTTTCGACTTATTTATTTATATGTCAGCCTGTTTATCAGTTTATTCATTAATTCTATTTGGTTATTTTTTATTTCTTTGCCTGTTTTGTCTATTTATTTGTTTGTTTGTTTGTTCATTGTTATTTGTCCGTTAATTTTGTTTTTATTTCGTTGTTGTTTTGTTTATTTGTTTTTCGTTTGAACATTTATTTGTTTGCATGTCGAATTGTTCATTAGTTTTATTTCTTTACTGTTTTTTTCTTTTTTTATTTTTTTATTTTTCTGTTTGTTTATTGTTTATTTTTTTTTGTTTTATTTTTCTGTTTATCCTATTTTTTTGCTTGTATGTTTATTTCGTTGTTTATATGCTCATTTATTTGTCTGTTTATATAACGTCTTTTGTTTGTTTGCTCCTTTTTTGCTTACTTGTTTGTTTGCTTAATTGTTTTTATTTTTTCGTTTTCTCCATTTGTTTATTGATTTTTTTTCTATTTACTTTTTCATATGTTTGTTCATTTACTTTTTTGTTTTTGTTTCAATTTGTTTATTTACCGTTGATATCAAAGTTTAATATTAATATCTAAGTTGAACAACAATTTTAACTCATTAATTTTTTTGTTATACATAAATGATGGTAACCAAAGCAGTGCGATTAAATTAAATACTTTGAAAATTTCACGCAGACATAAACCAGTAAATCAATAAATCACTCTGAAAATGAACTTTAGCGAAAATATTTTATTTATTGAATTAGCATATATTCTTACTTTTGTAAACGTATTTCACGTGTCATCACGTTAAAACTTTCGTTTCTTTTTCGTTAGTTGTTTATTTATTTGTTGCTTTTTTATCATCTTTAAATTGAGAATTTGATTCGTTAATTGATTAATTTTAATTCAAATTCCCAAATCTTTTATAGTCCAAATTTTAATCTCAATTTCGGAAATTTAAAATTCAGCTTAAATTTGTTGAAAGTCAACTTGAATTTGTATATTTTTTTTTTGTTAATTGAACTTTTTAAAACATTTAATCAAAGTTTTGAAAATTCTTTCAACTGTCCGTTTTTTAGATCTTCCTTCACAAGAACAACCGGTTGGTGAAGTAAGTATTCAGGTGGATCTGTTCACGCATCCAGGAACCGGTGAACAAAAAGTTACTGTTAAAAGTTTGTTTTATCAGTAACATTATTTTTTTTCTTTGCTAATTATTTTATTTTGTTATTTGCCGAACACGTAAGTCTTTTCTACGCTTCCTACCTGTGCGTTTAATCTTACTTACATAAACTAATTCAATACGAAAGAATTTTCTTTAAAATTTATGATGACAAATTTGAATAAAATCTCAAAAAATGAATCAAAAAAAAAAATGTATTTTCATTTAATTAAGTATTTATTATTTTTTAAGAGGCGCAAAGAATTTTTTCTTTATTTAATTTTGATAAAATCATAGATTAAAGCTTATTTATTGTATAAGAATGTTTCATTTATTTAATTTTTAAAGATTTTTTTTTTCATAAATTTTATTCTTTTTAAATCACTTAATTATACTATCTAAAAGTATCTCAAGAGTTCTAATTCCTAATTAATTAATGAAGAAGAATTTTCAGATGAGAATTTCGAGAAAAAAAAAAGCAAAATAAAATTAAGAAAAGAAAAAAATATTTCTTTTTTACAGTTTTGGCAGCAAATGATCTACGATGGCAAACAGTAAGTACATTTAAGCCATTTGTTGAAGTGCATTTAGTTGGGCCACATTTGGCTGATAAAAAGCGCAAAATGGCAACGAAATCAAAAAGTGGCAATTGGGCACCAAAATTCAATGAAACATTTCATTTGTAAGTGAATTAAAAACAAAAATAAATAAATAAAATAAAGCAAAATGATAAACAACACAGAAATATTATTGTTTTGAAATTTTAAACTAAAAAAAAAAAAAAAGAGAAAATGAATATGATATATTGATTCATTGATATGATATCAGTTTTCTAAATATGAATTTTATCACTAAAGTTAAACGTCCTCTTCTCATAATCTTTCTTATCTAAATATATATCATTGATTTTATATGCATGAATCTATTTTATGCATTGATATGATAATATATAATCACAATATGTGTGATATAAATATTTCATATCATATCAATCTTATCTTTTCTTATCAGTACTGATTACTCTTACAGTTTTCTTGGTAACGAAGGTGAGCCAGAACATTGTGAACTGATGTTCCAAGTGAAGGATTACTGTTTTGCACGTGAAGATCGAATTGTTGGAGTTGGAGTATTACAGTTAGCCAATATGATTGAGCAAGGAAGTTGCGCTTGTTGGGTACAACTTGGCCGACGTTTTCATATCGATGAAACTGGCCTCATCTTACTTAGGTATGGTAATTCTCAGTCTTTAATAAAAGTCTTTTATTACTCAACGATCACTAATAACAATAATAATAATAAATAATAACAATGATAATAACAATAATAGCAATAATAATAGGTAAATAATAGTAATATCAATAATAATCGTAATAATAATAATAATAAAAATCATAGTAATAATGACTAGTAAGAGAAAATAAATAATAATAACAATAATAATAAATGAAAAATAAAAAAATAAATAATGATAATAATAAATAATAATACTGATAATAATAATAATCAATAATAATGATAATAGTAATAATAATATAAAATCTTAAATTATATATATTTAAGTTGATGATTTTTTGTTTTTTAATTTCATTATAATATTATATGAATAATTCAGTTATTCCTTATGTAATTTCTCGAATTTATGTAAAATTTTGATTGTCATTTATTATTACTAATTATTATTATTATTATTATTATTATTATTATTATTATTATTATTATTATTATTATTCTTTATTGTGATAAACGAATTTTATTAAAATTTCAAGGAAAAATGAAGCAATTGATTAAAATTTCATATAATTCTCTAGGATATTAAGTCAACGACAAACTGATGAGGTAGCTCGAGAATTTGTACGTTTAAAATCAGAGTGTCGATATGAAACTGAGTCAACAATCGCAGCATCAATGAGTAATCAACAATTAGCAGCAAATCGAGTTAGTTAATGAAAATTATGAAAATCAACAGCATTTCACTTTTTGTTTTGTTTTGTTTTAAAATAATTTATGCATATTTACTTTTCAAAAAGAAAAAAAGAATGAAAGAAGAAAAAGAAAGAAACGAATAAAACTAAAAAATTAAATTAATTTTATAAGTATTTTTGTTTAAAAGAAAAGAAAAGAGAAAAGGAAAAGAGGAAAGAAATGAAATCACAATTGAATGTTTATATCATTGAATTACTCTGATATTATTTATTATATCAAAATAGGTTGTTAAACTTTGACCTCGTAGTGATTTTTAATTCAATGATAGATGTCATTGAGTGTTTTTTTTTCTTTTTAATTCAAAATAGAAGTTGAACTTTGACTTTGTGGTGATTTTTAATTTAATGATAACCTTATTGCTTTTTTTTCTTTTAAAATCAAAAACACAATGTTGAACTTTGACCTCGTAGTGATTTTTAATCCAGTGATAGATGTTATTGTTTTTTTTTTAATTCTAAGCAGAAGTTGAACTTTGACTTCGTGGTGGTTTTTAATTTAATGATAAGTTCATTGTTTTTTTTTTCTTTCGAAGTCAAAACATAATGTTAAACTTTGACCTCGCAGTGATTTTTAATTCAACGATAAGTGTTTGTGTCTTTTTTTTTTTAATTTTTTTAAGTCAGTAATATATAATGTTATTTTATTTTTATTTTATCATTTTTTTATAATTCTATTATCTCTGTGTTACAACGATATTAACAGTCTATAATTAAGCAAATTAATTGTTTTCTTTTCATAATTATTTTGTTTCTTGTTTCTTTTGGATTAAATTTTATGTTTACTTTTCTTTTGTAAATAATTGGATGAAAATGAAAACAGATTATTGTTCTCTTTTTTCTTCGAGTTTTAAGAATATTTTAATCTATGAATTTTTTTTTTCAGAAAAAAAAAAAGCTAAATTATAATATTTATTTTATTATGTTAATTAATTCAGCACATTTATGAGTTACAAAGAAATAAATAAAAATGATTGTTTTGCATAGTATAAGAAACAATTTAAGTAATAATATCAGAGTAATTCTATAATATATTATTATTATTATTTTGCTTCTTTTATTTCATTTTCAATGGCTATAAGTCACTTATTGAACAATTTTTTTTCTTCAAAACTTTTCAAATTTTCACTCATTAATTAAATTTATTATTACTTTTAATTATTAATTATTATTATTGTTGTTAATAATATTATTAACGCTTACCATTTCACGTGATTTTTCATGACGTTATTATGCGTGATGTACGTTATATATTGTATGTGGCAAAAAAGTATTAGCTCAATTATTGTATAATCGGGTAATTAATTCAATCTAATCAAATTATTTTTGAGAAATGATAATTCTATGATAAGACCGTAACTCATATAATAAGTTTTTTTTTTTTAATTCCTTTTAAATTGGAAAGGAAAAAAAGTAATGAAATTAATTAATCACTTTTTTTTTTTGTTCTATAATTTATTTGTATTAGAAACAGAAAAATTCTTAATCAAATATGGTAGAATAATTTTTTAAAAAAATTAGATTCTTTTCTTCTCTCGTTTTTTTAACTGAAAAACTATTTAAATTTGTCAGATTTTTTTTTTTTTGAGAAAATAAAAAATTTTTTGTTGTTTTATAGAGTTATGGCCTTTTCATAAAATTATTATTACTATTATTATTACAATTAATACTATTATTTTTTGTTTTTTTGTTAATATTGTAAACCTTTTTTTTGTTTATTATAAACATTTTGGAAATCACTTATTTTGCCTGTAATGCTATGCTATATTTGTTTACTAGTGAATATGATATTTTATTGTTTTGATTTTTGTGAATTATTAGCGATTAATTAATTAATTAATTAACTAATGATATATTCTTGAAAAATGAAAAAAGAAAGAAGAAGACGAGAAACGAGAATAACATTGAATAATTTGTTTTTATTTCTCTTATATGATAGTATATAATAAATGAATAACAGTTACATTAATTGTGAATTTAAAAAAAAAAAACAAACAAACAAGAAAATAAAACAAAAAGAAAAAATGAAAATAAAACTTTGTACAAAATTTGCTTAAGCAAAAAGAAAAATTTATTTGTATAAATTTAATTTTTTATCAATTTCGGTCATTTTTTTTCTTTTTTTAAATTTTATATTTGTTATACATAATGGAAAAAAGATTTTGTGAATATTGAAATTTGAATAATTTTTCCCTAATTTTTTCTCTTCTTTCTTTTCTTTTCAAATAAGTCTTTCTAACTCAAAAATTTAAGTTATATTTTAATATTTATTAGCTTATGTGTATATTTGTTGTGCCTTTTTTTCAAGAAGGTAAATGTGCTGTTTTTATGTAATTAACAAAAAAAAAAAAAAAAAAAGGAAACAATGATAAATGTATTTAAGGAAGTAAAATGCTTTATTATCATTTGGTATACATAAATAAAAAATATTAATATAGAGTTGAAATTGAGGTACAAATTTTGCAGTTTAATAAATGTAAATATAATTTTAAAAAAAAGCTGAAATATTAAAGGTAGCTTAATAAATGTCAGTGTAATAAAAAGGTAACTAATTGGAACCGAGGTATCAAAGGTGCTTGTTATCCTAGATAGGAATTTCAAAATTAAATAAAATGTTGTTAAGCAGAATTTTCCCCTTTCCAAAAAACAACAAAAGAAAGTGTTCAAAAATAAAAAAGCCAAAATAGAATAAAGTATAGTAAATAGAATAAATATATATTAGTAAGATAGAAATAAAATGATTAATGCTATTTAATATTATGATCAATCGATAATAATTTTTCAATTATTACATAAGTTTTTAAGTGATTGATTAATTGTTTGTAAAATATATTATATATATATATGCATATCACTATTTGACAGAAGCGTATGTATTTTATTTAAATTAATTAAACAATTTTAAATTAATTAAATTATTAAATTGTATTTAAATTAACTGAACTGTTTCAAATTAATTAAATTATTAAATTTCAAATTAACCAAATTATCAGAACTAAATAATTCCAAACTAACTAAATTATTAAAAGTGTTAATGCTTAAAGAAAGAAAAAGAAAGAAAGCATTGATGAATCAAATATCAAAATTTTGAATATTTACTAATTAAGGAACTGTAGCTTTACTAATAATATTAAATATACATGAATTGTACATAAATATACTTTGCAGAGATATAATTTAAAAAAAATTTAATTTGAAATTAAGCAATTAGTAAACAGTCAAAATTTAATTAATTTTTTATAATTTAGCAAAACAAAAAAGAAAAGTATTATTAAGAATTTTTTTCTTTTTCCTATTTTGAAATTTTTGCACAAATAATTAAATACAACTGTGATAGGAAATGGAATTTTAAAAAAAAAGTGGGCATTTAAAGGTTACGCTGTTCACGTGGAAATACGTGGAATTTATTATCAATCTTATGATATAAATTGATAGATCACCGATTAACACATGAATTTAAGCATAATTTTAAATCGATAATCTAAATAAATTGAAATAAATAATAAATTAACACAATTTCCGGAAACTTTTCCGTTTGCTGCGGAAAATTTAAGAACAATGCAAGATAAAAGTTAAATAATATTTTAAATAATGTATGAAATATCAAAGGTTGTAATCAGAATTGATTAAATAATTATTTTTTTTTAATTTTAGAGAGAAGGAAAGACAAATGGATGAAGAGAGAGAGAAAGAGAGAGAGAGAGAGAGAGAGAGAGATGAGATTTCCGGTAAAATAATACAAATGCATAGTGATAATTTCTTATGAACATTCCAAAATGTTCCAATGATATTATTAGATGACATTAGTTGACCTTTAATCTGACCTGATTTGATCTGATTTTAGATCTTAAATAATTTTTATAACAATAATAAACAGAAATAAAGTTCCATTTCCTCTGTCCTTTTATCATTTTTCTTCTTTTTGCAATAAATCCAACATTTCTATTTTATTTTGTTTTGTTTTTTTTTTCTTTCAATTTGTCGATGCAATTGACAAATCAATCAATCAATAAATCAATAAATCAATTATATTGATTGCGACGTGCCAAGAATGCACTTATTCCATATAAAAATCCATTGAGAAATGAAAGAAGCTGAAAAAAAAAACAATTTCAGCACAAAAAAAATATTTTATATTAATTTCAATTATTAATTAAAATTATTTCCTTCGTTTTATTTTTTTTCCTATCAATGATTTTTCTATGCAAAAAAGTCTTTTTGTTAAATTCGCATTACATTTTAATATTTTTCATGCTTTTTTAAACAAAAAACTAATTTTTTTTCCGAATGATTAACACAAAAAAAAAGCAAAATTGTTTTATTTGTTAAATTATCAAAGTAAATTTAAAAAATTTTTTCTTTTTTTTACTAATTAATTAAAAAAAAATTTTAATTTAATTTTTCTTAAAACAAATACCAAACTTTTTATGGTTTTTTTTTTTTTTTTTTTTTGAACGATTGACAAAAAAAAAAAAAAACACAAACAAACACAAAATTGTTTTATTTGCTAAATTGTTAAAGTAAATTTAAAAATTTTTTTCTTTTCTTTATTAATAAATAAAAAATTTAAATTTAATTTTTTTTTTTTTTGATAAAAAAAAAAATATAAATAATTACCGATGCAAAAACCCATTCAAAAATTGTACGACAATGATTATGAATGATACCATCTGAGCCAATATCATTACAATTATTTGACCATGCACCTGTTGAATAATATGCTTCGATAAAGCCCAAAATAATATACGATGGACAGGCTGTCATCGAGAACATAAAATCCTTTAATAAAAAATTATAATTAATTTAAATTTTTTTTTTTTTTTTTGAGAAAAAGCAAGAAAATAAAAAGAAAAAAGAAGAGTAAAATATTACTTTTTAATAAAAAAAAAAACGTATATATTATTACTTTTTGTAAAAATAAAATATATATTTTATTTATTTATTTATTTTGAAAAAAATTTTCAA